CCCCTTCCCTCTCCCGTCCCTTTGGGGGTGGGGGAAGGAGGGCAGTGCATTAAAGCCCGGGATATGTGGAGCTGAGGGCGAGAGGCTGCTCAAACATCATTAACCCTGTCACTGGGAGCTCCCATTTTTCAGCAGGAATATATGCCTTGTCAACCTTTATGGCCGTGGCCTTCCTCGGGCGGGATCGTGTGGCCGCGGCTTAATAAAGCCGGGCCTTGTGGAAAGGAGGGGGCTCCCCCAGGGCCAGCAAAAACCCCAAAACCCCCCAGGGGTGAAGGGCTGAGCTTCCCCCCAACCCTTCCCTGCTGCTTCTCCCCAGGGACCTGCCAGTGGGGCAATGACTTGCCCGGGGGTCGGTGGCCGGGCTGGCACTAGGCCGCAGATGGCCGGGCTGGCACTAGGCCGCAGATGGCCGGGCGCTGGGCTTTGTGTCCCTGAGCGGTGGCCGGTGGCTCGATGGCCCTGGCTCCTTATTTTTTTTGTTTGCTCCGAGTTCACGGGCTCAGAAGTGGCTTCTCCCACCGAGCGGACCCAGCTCTCGCATTCCTGGGAGGAATATTCTTGGTTACTTTAATTAGCTGGTGGCTTTGTGCTTTCCCACCTGGGTGTTCTTTATGGCTTTTCATTCCGGGGGAGCCTGGCAGTTGGGAATGTTTACATGTGTCTTGGGCAGGTTTTTATACCGTGGGGTCGCAGGAAAAAAAAAAAAAACAACTTTACAATAAAGCATTGTCTCGGCGGAGCCACACTTCATTTCCCATTCAAATTGGTTTGGGGAGGGGTAGGGATGGCGGGGGGAGAATCGGAGCTGAGGGGGGATTTCAGACCTGCTGTGAGGGGGGAGCAAATGCAGAGTTGCCTCAGCGGCTGTGAACTCATCTGTAGCTTTGAAACCCCCCCTTCCCCCCTCACCGTTAGCCCTCTGGGGTAGAAATCTTTCAAGTTTAAAACCCTCTTCTTCCCCCACCCCAGGGGGAAAAGACCCCGGTGGCCGGGGAGAGGAGCGGGGACAGAGAGGTTTTTGGGGGGGCGCAGGGAGAGGCAGGTGCTCTGTTTGGCTCCAGGCAGCAACGGGGCCATCAAATTAATTTTTTAAAATAAATCAAGCCGGCGTTTATCTCCCCCCGTAGCACCGACCCTCCCCGCCGAGGCCTCCTGTTGGAGCACACGCTGCCTGACCCGGAGCTCCTGACTCCCATTTAGTCCTACTTAACCCCCCTCACGTGAGTGTCCCCTCGTCCCCTCGTCCCCTCCAGCTGCTCCCGGTGACGTTCCCTCTCCCCGGGGAGGGCACAGAGCCTCCTGGTTTATATTCCGGCCGGGATGGGAGCTGCCTGCATCAGGGCCAGGGGGTTCAGGAGCGTTTCTCCGAGGGGGTGCCTGGCTCTTTATGGATAAAATAACCCCCCGGGTCTCCTGCCGGGAGAGTCTTGGCACCAAATGGACAGTGAGAGCCCTCGGGAGAACATAAAAGCTCTTGTTTGCCACCTTTTGTATTATATTATCAAATACCTTTCCCCCATCCGAACAGATGACTAAAATAATTGGCTTTTTTATCTCCTCTTTAATGCGGAGGCCTCGAACTGCCTAACGAACAATTAGCTGATTAACCCTCTGCTGTTGGGAGGTTGGGAGCCGAGGGGTGAAGTGACTCTGCTCTGGGGTCACTCCCCATCCCCTTCTTTTTTTCCCCCCCCACATTTCCTTGATTTGGGGGTGAAACAAAGGATTTTTGCCGCAGATCTCCACACGCCTGGTGTTCCCATCCCTCGTCACGGGGTGCTTGTCCCGTCACCACCTCGGGGCAGGGATTGTTAAATTTTGGAAAGGAAAAAAAATTTGAATGCTGTGAAATTACTGGAAGCAAGGTAACATATTTTAGGAAATATGTTTAATTGCCACATATGGGGACATTGCTCTGTAGAGGAACACAAATATATTATTGTATAGAACAATATTTTCATATTTTCCAAGTAGTATTATCTATGGATTACTGTTCTTATATTTCAGATAGGTTCCCTCACTAGTTATTATGAGTGTGAGGCCAGGAAAAGCTTGATTCCTAAATATTTTGCAAAATAGCCTAACAATTATCCCTGACACCATAGTAACAGTGCTTTTAGGCCCTTTGCTTCACGGGAGGATAAAAGTCTCAGAGATACAGTGACCTACTGTCTGCATATTAGTTGCTGTGAATTAATAACAGCACAGTTAATTTAACAAGAGTTAGTAAACCAGGTTTCTTCAGTCTTGGGATTTGTTTGGGCCTAACGCAACTGTTTTAATACCTCTATTATCAGTCTAGCTACGACCTTTCAAACTGTAATATTGAAATACTTTTTTTTTTACACTGCTTTTGTAGCACAGGACCTACCTCAATTTATTGCTAGGGAGGTGGAGAGAGACCTGGCTGTGGCTCCCGAGCCCTGTGTCCCCTTCAATAACTGCATTTTTTTCTTTGCCTTTGTGAGTTTTCTGTTTTCCAGCCGTTCTGTGGCCTTGGGAGTGTCCTGGGGGGGGGGACACAAAATGTCCCCTTGGTCCAAAGGTACCGACTCTCCCTCCTGGCTGGGAAGAGTTAATGCTTCAGGAGGGTGGTGATGGTAGATTAATGCTGGTTTAATTCCGGTTAATGAGAGTGTGTTTTAAGGGGAGCAGATA